ATGACAAAGGACGAACCGACAAAGACAGACAGAAAGACCAGAAGTTAAATACACACAAGACTAATCATACAAACAAGACACAGGTGAGGAGGGAGGAGAAAACACAGGGGCCACAGGTGAACACAATCGGGTAATCAGAAACACCAGGGAAACTAACGACAGGGAACCACAGACAAATCCAAACAAGACACAACGCAGACAGAAACAGGCAAGACAGGAGGTGAAGACCTTTCAAAATAAAACATGAAACAAGACAAAACACCATAAAGACAGATCGTGACAATATCGTTCCATATAAAACATTTTGTTAAATAGTATTACTGCTGCATCAATGCCTATATTAGATTTTTTGAACTCCTTTATATACTGTTGGTTTGTTTATTCTGCAGCACTGCAGATTATATGAGATCTATAGATGTGTGTAGTTTTGTCCTGTGAGAACCACGAATCTCTAAAAAGTCAACTTTTTACGAGTTATTCAGATAAACGGCTTTGTGACGATGCATTTTCCAGCTGGCTTTTAAAGGCATATAGTTTAAAGAGGAGAACTGCCTCAACACATAAATACTTGATCCTAGTTAATCTTAAACATTTAAAATAATCTGCACTCTAAAAACAAATGATTTGGCTCAACAAAGAAAATCAACGCAACAGTTTGCATCAATGTTTATTGAGTTATGACAACTTCTAATGAAATTGTCTTAAAGCAACAAAGTTATTTGAGTTAGGGGAGAAGGCTTTTCCTCTACAATCAGAGGTATTTTTAATTACCACTTAATAATTGGTAGCATAAAACACAAGTTTTTAAGTTGATTGCTCAAAAAATGACTAGTTTTACCACATAATTTAAAAGGAATTTAAAGTTGTATGTACTTAATTACCATCATTGTGAACACACGTTTTTAAGTTGACAACCATTTATAAATGAAGTTGCTTCAAATATATTGTATTCAATTGTTTTGTTTCTTAGCTTTTTCATGTTTTTGCCTTTAAAGAAAGAAATTAATTAATTCCACAACAAAAATATTAGGCAATTCACTTTTTATTTTGAACTGCAGTTGTTTATTTCAACACATGATGTTTCAATCAGGAGAGACTTCATTTAGTTTGAACATGTATTGACACATGCCATATGATAAGGTGCATGAACACCTGAAATCACAGCTGACTGCAGGAGAGAGGAGAACCATTTTATAGTTTGGCTGCAGCTCGTTGATTGGCTGCTGGAGAATGAGGTGAAATGTAATAGGTTAAAGAGAACGCCTGTGATGAGCTGATAATATGCCGCTACGGAGTGAAAGTACTTACACCCAGTCTTCCTGAAAGAACTTGCGCTGAGCTTCATTTCAATCTTGAAAAAAAAGATAAATAACACAAATTTAAATTGCCCCACAAATAATAAATAAACACATTAGCCATATTACCATGGGACATGGGGACACAGCTAATACATGCTGCCATCACATCGAGGTTAGAGGCCTTTGCATATTTAAAACCAGTGCCTACGCAGAATGCTTGCTCATTCATTTGTTTCCCTCGACCACGATGGCTGCCATCGTATGGTCAGATCCTGGGGTGGACCGGTCACTGATGAAGGCGATATTCATGTCCTTTTGAAGCACATTAAATAATAGGTTAGCGCATAAGAGACAATGAATAAGGTAATTTAAAATGTTACAGCAGCAAAGGAAGTAATGAGACATGTCTCCTCAAGATACACAGACTTTAGTAGCCACTTTTAGTAGTTGTTTTTACTCTCTTTTCTCATTTGAGGTTTTTTTTGTCATCCTTTTGAGTCTCCTTTTATTCTTTGTGCTTTACTTTTGAAAACCTCTGTATTGATTTTAAGTCACTTTGTTGTAGTTGTGCATCTAGCTGAGTCGTTGTGTTGTCTCTGTGGTTGTTTATTGTCTCTTTGTAGCCATTATATGTTTTGGAGTTGTTTCATCCTTGTGTCTCTCTTTACTTGTTTATTTTTTGTGTATTTTGAGTCTCTTGACATTTTGTAAATGAAGGCCATAATTTGAAAATGTGCATTTATATTCAAATAAGTAGTTGATTTTAAGGCATTTGTGTGAAAGATACATATAAAGTTAAACAAAATGGGTTTACACATCTTCAGACATCACGAAACAGTCCCAGTCGCCAGCCAGCAGAGCAGCTTCAGGTTCAGTGTGAGTTTAAGGGTTATTAAAGCAACCTGGGAGAAAAAGACCCCCCTTCCCCCCTTTCCCTCCTAACAAACCATAGACACACAATGTGGGAATGTTATTCACCCCTGCTAGACCTTTCAGGGCGTTTCAAAACAAAGCTTGGGTCAGCAGTTATTGTGCCCGGTGCCCAGCAGCACCCGGGGCTTGTTTACACCTCTGCAATCCACCTGGACCTGGGACCTGTTTCCAAGTGTGTGTTTCTGAAGGAGAGTTCAAAGAGTTCTTCTCAACAGGATTGTTAAGGTGAGGATGTTTTGAAAGGGATGTTTGGAGGAGCTGCTGTGTCCCATGTGGGCTGCAGCTGAGCTTCAGTTATATCAGAGACCTCTGGGATGTGTTTATTTATTGAAAAACAACTTAACTGACAAGAAAGATTTGTATTTCCATTTTTGCCAAGTTTCCAATGCATGGTACAGCTCTAATCAAATCGCTTTTTTGGTTTTCTATATTGAGAACTTAAGCACTACCTTAGCCGATGTTCCTATCGAGCTGAACCGTCAAAACAATGCAGACCTTTTGATTTGTCAGAGACAATCACCATCGGGGCATCAAGGGTCATCATGCACGATTCCAGGGTTGTTAGACAGCAAACTATACTGCCAATAGTAACTGCATTTTTTTTTAATCTGCCGAATTTAAAAAAATGGCAGATATCAAAACCAGATTCGCCCTTTGTTTTTGTGATTGGATCTTTTTGAAGAAAAACAAATCTTAACTTCCATGGTTCTTTAAGCAGAGCCTCAACATGTCCTGTAAATCTGGCCCAAGACTAAATAATAATATAAATAATGTATTTATACTTCTGAAATGTAGATTTTCTTACTTTTAGGCCAGGATCTTGGAATACAACAAGTGTGTTGTTATTCTGCTTTGTGTAAGTTCGTGTTTTCACCAAAATACATGTCCTGTTGATGCTGGTGGACATTTTAAATGTAATTGCATTTGTGTATTTCTAGACTGAAGATGTCCTTAAAGAAACGGCTGCTGTCCATGTTGTTGTGCTGTGTTTACTGCGTGGCCTCGCTCTTCTGCCTCCACCCAAACCGCAACAACTGCTTCTCCCACGGAGCTCGGTGAGTTTGTGTCTTACACAAGTTCTGAGTTTTTAGTGGGTGTTTTTCCAGTATTCTTACTTTTTCCCTCTGCTGCACTTTCCCTTAGAGGATAATTCTGAGATGTTTAAACTTGGACCCTATTTTCCTAAGTGTGTGTCTAGTTAACTAATGGGGACACACACAAAAAACAGAATTGCATATTGTATCCAGTTACATTTGGCGGTTTTCCTGCCTTGTTGTGACCAAGAATCATTTTCACACCTGAGACATGAGTGAAGAAATTTAGCCAAAACGGACATTTTGACTATTTTACACACATGTCTAATAGGATATAAATGATGCTTCTTTGGAAAGGCATGCTTGAAAACTGCAACGTGGAGGAATACAAGTGTGATGAGATGATTGTAGTTATTTCTAACCACTCCCCTCTTTATTTCTCATTCTTGTTCTTCTCGATTTTCTCAGGAATATTGTGTCAGTTGTCCAGCAGCTTTACCAGCGTGTCATTCGGCTGCTGCGCACCACTCTCTAATCCACAGCACTACTGTCTGGATTCATAACAATAATGTGGGACCTGTCATTAGACACCGGTCACTGTGCCTGTCATTAAGCATGTACTTCAGTAGTGCATTGCTAATGAAAAGAAGAAGAAGAACCAGAGGAAGAGGAATGGCATCACTCCACGTTTTTCCACACGTGAAGTTTCCACCAACTCTTAATTGGGCTTCAACTGCCCTGCATTACTTTGACAATATCTGAAAATGTTTTTTTACTGAAGATTAACATTGTAGGCAGATGCTGTGTGAGATGGTTATGAGGTGGACAGGACAGTCATAATTTAAATGCATTTTGAGGGTTTTATTTGAGCTTCTACAAAGAATTTTAACAAGAGACACTATTGTTGACTTTAGGGTAAATATCACCATGAAACCTCCTCAGTTGATTAACTACATTATTACAAATATTTTTTGTAATCAAAATGTTATGTTTTGATATGCAAATGTGACATTATTTTAATTTGCATATATTTCCAGAACCTAAATCTGAAGATTGGATGAAGACAGGTTCAAAATGTTGGATTCAATTTATTGACGTATTGGAGTCAGACATTTTAAGGGGAATGTGTGTAACCTCTTTGCATCACTATATAGTCACCAGGCATTAACAGTCACTCCATGATAAGTGACTCCACACATGGGTTATAATAAAAAAAAACTTTACAATAGACAGTATTTAGGTGACATGATTGATGTCATTACTCCAAAATCTTATTTCTCCTTAAGTATGCAAGGAAATACAGCAGGTCAGAATATATAAACAGATTCCAAACAATAAAAACATACATTTTCTTAAAAAGCCTCTATGTCGTTTTTACAACATCTAATGTTTAACTATATATTTACAGAAGATACGATTAAGATGTTTTTCATGTTATAGAAAGATTCTATTTACTTTCATCTTTGGTAAAAATTACATAATTACACCAAAAAAATTACACAAAACATTAACAAACCCATTACCGCTAGAAACTAACAAACTGTGTCTCCTCACAACGCATCAGGTAGCAACAAATATATTCGAAATGTCTTGCAAAATACAAACTAGTTTTTTAGATTTGAAATTATTCCTAAAAAAAACAGCGAAACAAATGGTTTTCCCACTACAGAATATTCACACTACTCACTCAGTCCAGTAGGTGGCAGTAATTCACCTCTATGCTAGTTTGCCAATCGAAAATTAACACCGTAGAAGAAGAAGCTTGATTTGACATTAGCTGAAAATGAGAAGCTAACAGCAGACGATAAGTTTTCTGCTTGTAAAAGTCAAGCCACGTATACGTAGCCCTCTTTAGTCATGGGAAACCAAGTGGAATAGCCCTTTGCGGATTTTCTCTACACTCCAGGTACGTGACATGTTAGCTTTATTCAACAGTAACGAGTTGCTAACTCGTTATCAAGCTGGCTGTTAATCTCCACAAGTGTTAGCCGACCGTTAGACAGTTTCAAACTAACCGTCAAAAACAGCCGTTACGACAGTATTTTCATTTTTTACATTTTTAATCATTACTTAAATTGATGTGTTATATCCTCCACGAAAAAATCAAATTAGAAAACACATTTCTCCCTGGTTTCCTACTTATTTAGGGTTAATAAAAACATCTTGCCATTTAGACCTTATTTTAATTGTATTAAATGTTTAAATCATTACTGAAAATAGTGTTTTAGATATTAACAATAAGGTAGGGTCTGTCTTGATCATATGCACATTATATATATATATATATATATGTTTTACTTTTTGTATTCAATATATATTAACATCCTATTATTTGTATAAAAGAAGTTCATAGTAGATATATAAAGCAATGAAACAATTGCATAAGTAAATAAAAAAAGAGAAAATACATTTTCATATTTCAGAATAAATATTTGTTAAATGCACAATTTGTCCGTTTCGATTGACTTTTTATTCACAATTGTTTTTAATGGTGGTACTATATTGTTTTAGTTATTAGTTAAAATATTAAAATGTGGTTTGAAGTCAGCCCAAAATAACAATATACAACTAAATGTAATTCTCGTGACATTGTTGCCGTCACAGACCAATCCCTGCCCTCTCCCGGCGCACCAGCCAATCGGATCGCGTTATTCTTGATTGACAGCTCTCGCGGCCAATAGCAACCCGCACAACAAATATGACCGCTCTCTCCGCGGTGTTGGGCTCAGCGGGTATCTCTTTCCGGCGCAGTACGGTGGGGATGCTGATGCTGAGGAGCCTCGTTCATCTGTAGCATTATTAGAACTCATCGTGTATCGCCATGTTGTATTGTCTGAAGTTGCAGCACTGTGTTGACCTCTTTGTGGGCCTCCTGCTCTTGTTTTTAGCGGGTCTGCAGCAGGTGGAGGCAGAAGCTGAATCTGCAGAGATGTCCAACCTGAACTGGAAACCGTTCATCTACGGAGGAATGGCCTCGATTGTCGCAGAATTCGGTAGGCTACGTGATGGTGATGCACCACAACATGCAGATACTCACCGTCCTCTGTTATGCTGGTTTAAACGTTTGTTTTCCATGGCAGTGCATGTGCTATGCAAATAGTCCTTGCATTTATGTTTATTTGCAGGCATCGGAGAAACACACTTTTAAAATGTGTACGAACTGGTTTTGCTTTAGGCAAGGCAAGTTTATTTATATAGCACCTTTCAACACAAGGCAATTCAAAGTGCTTTACAAAAATTAAAGACATTAATAAAATAGCATTAAAAAAGATAACAATAAACATTGAAAGACAAAATACATGAATAAAAGTTACAGTGCAGTCTAAGATGTGAATAGTTCAATTAAAAGCAGCATAAAAAAGAAAAGTCTTTAGTCTGGATTTAAAAGTAGTCAGAGTTGCAGCGGACCTGCAGGTTTCTGGGAGTTTGTTCCAGATATTTGAAGCATATTAACTGAACTTCTCCATGTTTAGTTCTGACTCTGGGGACAGGAAGCAGACCCGTCCCAGAAGACTTGAGAGTTCTGGATGGTTCATAATTTAGCAGGAGGTCAGAAATGTATTTTGGGCCTAAACCATTCAGTGCTTTATAAACCAGTAGCAGTATTTTGAAATCTATTCTTTGACACACAGGAAGCCAGTGTAAAGACTTCAGAACAGGAGTGATGTGATCCACTTTCTTAGTGTTAGTGAGGACTCGAGCAGCGGCGTTCTGAATCAGCTCCAGCTTTCTAATAGATTAGTGAGACCTGTGAAGACACCATTGCAGTAGTCGAGTCTACTGAAGATAAAAGCATGGACAAGTTTTTCCAAATCCTGCTGTGACATTAGTCTTTTAATCCTAGATATATTCTTTAGGTGATAGTAGGCTGATTTAGTAACTGTTTTAATGTGACTGTTGAAACTCAGGTCAGAGTCCATGACTACACCTACATTTCTGGCTTTATCTGTTGTTTTGAACATTGCAGACTGAAGCTCAGCGCTAACTTTTATTATTAGGATGGTTTAGATTGACATAATGTACTAAGGTACTTTATCACAAACAAGGAATTTGCTTTGGTGTACAAGTCCATAACAATAAATGTCAAAGCAAGTATTGCATAAATCATGAAATGTATAGAAGTGAATCACAATAGAAGTGTTGAAATGAAAGGGTTGGGCAGCTCTTGAACACAGTATTTGTGATTCCCTGGTGCAAAACATTAAACAAATTAATGTTACTAACAACAAGATGCAAAAACGGGTACAAAACAAGTTTAAAAGACAAGCTAGCTACAGCAAAATATCAATAGAAAATATGAAGCCAATTATCGAAAAATATAAATACAGGCAGTGTGAATAAATGTAAATGCAATAAACAACAAAGGCAGTCTTAAGTTCCCAAAGGATATTCATGCAGCAAGTAAATAATGTGGCACACTTCAAAAAGACGGCAGGGCTCAACATTATAAATGGCCCGCTGGCCCGGAAGCACTATTTAGTCACCCCGCCCAGCATAACGTACTTTCCACTTGCCCGCTCGGCCACTAAAAATATTGCTTTAAAAAAAAAAATGTCCTGTGTTATTGGTATTTTGACTAGCAATTTTGTTAAATTGTTTCGTTTATTAACGCTACAACATAGCGTTTCGTGAGTCGGTTGTCGTTGTTGGGTGAAAAGCAAACCGCTGTTTGCTGCGGAGCGCAGCGCGAGCAGGCTCCCGCGAGCCGGAGCGCAGCGCGAGCAGGCTCCCGCGAGCCGGAGCGCAGCGCGAGCAGGCTCCCGCGAGCCGGAGCGCAGCGCGAGCAGGCTCCCGCGAGCCGGAGCGCAGCGCGAGCAGGCTCCCGCGAGCCGGAGCGCAGCGCGAGCAGGCTCCCGCGAGCCGGAGCGCAGCGCGAGCAGGCTCCCGCGAGCCGGAGCGCAGCGCGAGCAGGCTCCCGCGAGCCGGAGCGCAGGCGAGCAGGCTCCCGCGAGCCGGAGCGCAGCGCGAGCAGGGCTCCCGCGAGCCGGAGCGCAGCGCGAGCAGGCTCCCGCGAGCCGGAGCGCAGCGCGAGCAGGCTCCCGCGAGCCGGAGCGCAGCGCGAGCAGGCTCCCCGCGAGCCGGAGCGCAGCGCGGGCAGGCTCCCGCGAGCCGGAGCGCAGCGCGAGCAGGCTCCCGCGAGCCGGAGCGCAGCGCGAGCAGGCTCCCGCGAGCCGGAGCGCAGCGCGAGCAGGCTCCCGCGAGCCGGAGCGCGCTCCTTCACTACAGACTATCGCGCCACCTAACCATTCGTTCAAAATGTTTTTAATACCAGCGGTACCTGGCCAAGCACCGGCCAAAAAACAATCTTCAAATAAAAGAAAGTCACCGGAGGAGTTAAAGGAGAGTGACAGGGAGCATGAGAAGAAGAGGGAGAGAACGTTTCAGCCAGCTTGATCGATGGAGTTGGCTTCTAGTGGTCACTGTAAATGTCTCCGTTGTGGGAGGAATAAATGATTAATTTAATCCTCTACACATGTAATCTCACTTTTACACACCAAAATAACGTTAACACAGAGTAAACGTTTGCTAATGGAGAGTCTATTTTGTCCCAATAAAAAGTTTATGACTATCGATAAAAAATATATATCAATAAACCTATTGTTCATTTTTGCGGTATTGCCCACACATTGCCAGTACACTATTACTGTAATATTTACACTTACCCATGTCCAAATGGATCCTTGTTGTTGTCTTTGTGTTCTTCTTCTTCAGAAGAGTGGAAAACTTCAGGTTCTGAGGCTCTATCTTCACTGCTGCTAGCGAAAAAAATCTCTAGCGAAGTCGGCAACTGTAAAGTTTTTTTTAGCCATTTTCTCTGTCTCTCTCTCTCTCCTCAAAGACATAAACTGATGGGAGACACGTGGTTTATGTTTTGTTTACTTGGTGGGTAGGTCCTTAGTGATTTCTCGATGTCCATTGGTCATTTCAGACCATGATGGCTGCCGGCCGAGATTTCCTTGACTGACACACAAATCCACCAATCCCACACAGTGTAAAGTCAAGCTGCTTTGAGCGGCCATATTGGCTGCTGTGCCCTGGTTACAGTCTCACGGGAGATATCGCTGGAAAGCTACTCTTCCAGCGATTCCGCGGATATCTGAATCATATTTCTACTCCTTATAATCGAAAATATATGATTAATTATGTAAAATTATGCGCACCTGGACGCGCCGGCGTCAGAGGGTTAAAGGTCCCCTATTTTACTGTTTCTCATCAATATATCACAGGTCTCAGATATATACAGAACCTGTCTCTGATTGGCTGAAACACCAAACAGATCATGGCAGCATCCCATAATCCCCTCTGTTTCAGCCCTGTTTCAAAAGTGCTGATTCTCTGTCTGTTACTTTAGATGAAAATAAGGAGCCCCTCCCCACGCCCCTCTGATACCTCATTCACACCAACAGTGTTTCAGGGCCGGTTCGGAGCTGGAGCTTGAAAAGCACCGGGTTTTCCTGTTCACACTGCAGCGGAGCAGCCTCTTAGCTCCGGAATCCGGTTCATTTCGAGCACCAAAAAATTGTCCGGCCAGAGCAAAAGCACCGCATACGTCACGCTTACGTCGAGACGGGGGCAGGGGCGGGATCAACTCCTGAACAACAACAAAAAACCCGCGTTTTATCCAGCTTGTACACAACGATGGAGAAACTTAACAAGCAGCAGTGGTCCCCTGAAGAGACCAGCTACCTACTGGGAATCTAGTCTTCCGAAGAGGTACAGAGGAAGCTGGAACACAATCGGCCATTGTTGTTGTTGACGGTGTCAGCTGTGAGGGGTTTCCGCGCGGTTTGGCTCTATGAAGCAGGCACGCAAAGGGTTACGTCATGACGCAAACAATGACGCAGCACCAATCGGACTCTGGGCAGTGTGAAAAGAGCCGGAGCTAAACCGAAGAACCGGTTCTGAACCTGAAAAGCTCTAGCACGGAGCTTGAACCGGAGTTGCGTTGGTGTGAATGAGGTATGAGAGAGATTTGGTTAAAAAGAACACTAGGAGGAGATTCAGGTGATAAGGTGGGGGGGTTACCTTGGTTGCTGATTGGCTAATGGTTACACAAGCCAAAACATCGTTATGACATCACAAAGTGGCCAAAATCTGATCAGCTCATTTTAAGACAGGTTTTTATAGAAATGGATCAAAAAGAGAGAGAATCTTTGTTCCTGAAACTTTCAGAGTCTCTTTCCACAGAGGGGACACATGTTGATGAAGAAGAGACATGAAGAAGAGGGGACACATGTTGATGTAGAAGAGACATGAAGAAGAGGGGACACATGTTGATGTAGAAGAGACATGAAGAAGAGGGGACACATGTTGATGTAGAAGAGACATGAAGAAGAGGGGACACATGTTGATATAGAAGAGACATGAAGAAGAGGGGACACATGTTGATGTAGAAGAGACATGAAGAAGAGGGGACACATGTTGATGTAGAAGAGACATGAAGAAGAGGGGACACATGTTGATGTAGAGGAGACATGAAGAAGAGGGGACACATGTTGATGTAGAAGAGACATGAGAAGAGGGGACACATGTTGATGTAGAGGAGACATGAAGAAGAGGGGGACACATGTTGATGTAGAAGAGACATGAAGAAGAGGGGACACATGTTGATGTAGAAGAGACATGAAGAAGAGGGGACACATGTTGATGTAGAGGAGACATGAAGAAGAGGGGACACATGTTGATGTAGAGGAGACATGAAGAAGAGGGGACACATGTTGATGTAGAAGAGACGTGAAGAAGAGGGGACACATGTTGATGTAGAAGAGACATGAAGAAGAGGGGACACATGTTGATATAGAAGAGACATGAAGAAGAGGGGACACATGTTGATGTAGAAGAGACATGAAGAAGAGGGGACACATGTTGATGTAGAAGAGACATGAAGAAGAGGGGACACATGTTGATGTAGAAGAGACATGAAGAAGAGGGGACACATGTTGATGTAGAGGAGACATGAAGAAGAGGGGACACATGTTGATGTAGAGGAGACATGAAGAAGAGGGGACACATGTTGATGTAGAAGAGACATGAAGAAGAGGGGACACATGTTGATGTAGAAGAGACATGAACAAGTGGATTTTGCATAATAGGTCACCTTTAAGTATTTCTATAAAGCTTTTTCTATTTTAATTTGTCCTAATATTTGTAATCCTCAGGGACGTTTCCCATTGACCTGACTAAGACCCGGCTACAGGTCCAGGGTCAGTCTCAGTACACGGAGATTCGCTACAGAGGCATGTGCCACGCCCTCTTCAAGATCGGCAAAGAGGAAGGCCTAAAAGCGCTCTACTCTGGGTAAGAAGGATGCCTTTATCATGTTCATGTTTTGTAGGCTCTTTGTTAACACCCAGTTTGGTCATCCTGCTCATTTGAGGCAAAGTCAGCGGGAAATAGGATGTTATGGTCGAAAGCAAGACTGTTTGACAATGTTACTATGTAGATGCTCTGCTGCCTTAATTAGGAAAACATCTTCTCCGTTACCCATAATCCCCTTTTTTTTTGTACTGCCCTGACAATATAAAAATACTGAATATACGTCACAATCAGGTGAGTTTTTGTATCAAGTCAACACACAGGTGGAGATGAATTCATTAGCTCTACTCCAAATACCTTTCTAGTTATAGGTTAGATGTATAAGAAATGTATGGGAAAGTATTTTTATGCATGAGAGTTATAACAAGTTTAATATTGTTGTGTTGATGTAGAGAGGTATTAAACAAACCTAGGTATAGGGATGGGTATCGTTAAGGTTTTAACGGTACTACTACTTTTATCGATACCGCTTATCGGTCCGGTCTTTTAACGGTACTCTTATCGGTTCTTTTGGAGAGAAAAAAAAGGTAAACTAAACAAATTGTGAACAAAACTAACATTTTATTTAAATTAAATACATAATATTTCACATCAAAAGAAACAACAATGTTTTAACAAATCGTATTAAATAATCTGACAGAATAAACTTTAACTAACTAAATAACTCAGTTTCCTCTAATCATTAACCCATGTTTGTATCATTGAGTTAACTCTGTGTGTTGCTGCTAGCATACATAACACCTGACGTGGAAACGTTACTCGTGGATGGGGCTACAGAGCTGCTAGAAAGACGGTCGAGCCCGGTGCATTCCTCCGTCTGCATGTGGAGCACTTTTGCTAAATGTTTAGACAAATTGCTCGTGTTACCGCCCTCACATGCTGAACTCTTATTGCACTTTTGGTAACGAGTATTCTCCACATCGAGACGGGTAAAGTTTAACCACACCTCGGAGCGCGTTCTCTCCGCCATCTCGTGTGTGTGTGTGTGTGTGTGTGTGTGTGTGTGTGTGTGTGTGGTGTGTGTGTGTGTGTGTGTGTGTGTGTGTGTGTGTGTGTGGTGTGTGTGTGTGTGTGTGTGTGTGTGTGTGTGTGTGTGTGTGTGTGTGTGTGTGTGTGTGTGTGTGTGTGTGTGTGTGTGTGTGTGTGTGTGTGTGTGTGTGTGTGTGTGTGTGTGTGTGTGTGTGTGTGTGTGTGTGTGTGTGTGTGTGTGTGTGTGTGTGTGTGTGTGTGTGTGTGTGTGTGTGTGTGTGTGTGTGTGTGTGTGTGTGTGTGTGTGTGTGTGTGTGTGTGTGTGTGTGTGTGTGTGTGTGTGTGTGTGTGTGTGTGTGTGTGTGTGTGTGTGTGTGTGTGTGTGTGTGTGTGTGTGTGTGTGTGTGTGTGTGTGTGTGTCCCTCGCAAGCAGGCGGGGGAGAGAGATCGAAAATACTAAAAATCATCATGGACGCTTTTTGCGTATTGGAAACGGAGTTGGCGAAACTAAAACTGCAATATAATGTTTGTGTAGCAATAATACATGTGACATATATGTTTTAGATGTCTCCAGTACCGATAACGTCGGAGCTTAACGGTACCACGGTCTTTAATAATTCAGCCCCGGGGCCCGTTTAATCCCGGGGCTCGGTACCCATCCCTACCTAGGTAGTGATAAAGCATTAACTGCATTATGGGGTTTTCTGTCAGCACAACAGATCATCCCCGCACATCGGCTCTGTGCCACTTTAGCAGATAGCTCCTCATCTGCTTAACGAAACTCATGACCTGGTAGGTTTAAGGGTGAATTCTTAGCAAAGAAGACATCAGGATTTCGGCAGACTCTTAATACCACGATGTCTTGCTGTTCCTGGGGAGCGACTCCTTTCAGTTGAGCTCAATGTGCTGTAAAGTCAATCTGGTTACTTGTTATTGCTACAAGCTTGCCCCGTGCTCCATACTGATGCAAACAGCATGTGCTCATCATGATGTGCAGGAAAAAGCTTTGTGCACGGAGCTGTTACACTTTGTGGGTGGGTGAACTGTGATACTGCTTTGAAGGAGCCCGCTGGGAGAGGAAATGCATATTTCATTTTGAAAGCGGGAGCTTCGCTTTGACTTTAAAAGATGTGGGGAATGATTCAAGTGCTAATATTACATCAATCCCTTGATTTCACTCTCCTCGATACGACTGAAATGTATTTGATTTGCATCCTAAATCACATGAACACTGTTATCAGAATACCTTTCTTGGTCCCACAGAAGGGAAATGTACGTTGTTACAGCAGAAAAAGAGCCACAGACAGCTTAATGTTAACATGCATTCAAAAGTATTAAAGTAAAAAAGAAAGTTATGATATAATACAAATGTACAAAATACACATCCTGTAACAGTTCTTAGGATTTAGCAGCCAGGTATATATTGCACAGTCATTAACGGCATCTATATATACATTGCACATATTGCACATAGTTGGTTGGTATTTAACAGCAGGGGGTGTTATAGTCTGTGTTGTGGTGTGTGTGTGTGTGTGGGGGGGGGGGGGGGGGGGGGGGGGGTTTGAGTAAATGAGAAGCACTGCCTGTTCTTCTGAACTTGTCTTTAGTTCGCCTCCAGGGTAAAGAGAAATGAACATGTTTCACCTCATCTTTGCAGGATTTCTCCAGCTCTGTTGAGACAAGCCTCTTACGGGACAATCAAGATAGGGACCTACAACTCTCTGAAGAGGCTGTTTGTCACTCATCCTGAAGGTGAGGGTTTACTGCCTCTTCTAGCTTTCTTACAAAACTCTCTTACAATCGCTTATCATAAGGCTAAAACATTTTAATGTATATGTTTGTATTATCTTTAAAGGTGGGGTATGTAATTCACTTCAGAAACTCTTTTTGTTATATTCCATGGAATGCTCTTAACATCCCAAATACATAAGAAATACGAGTAATCATTGTGTAATCATGTGTGCAGAATATCTTAATTAAAAGTGGTAAAGCGTGCCGTTTTAGAACTTGAAGCATTTTCAGGGTGTCCGCGCAGTCTTAAAAAGTATGAAACGGCTTTTTCCAAGGTATTACATTTTGTATCTTGTTTTCAATAAGTATATAAATGGTCCAAAGAGGTTGTGTTCTACAGTGTGCCTGAATGTAATCATTGCGTAGGTGTGTAGTGTGATTCTGTGTAGTTTATTTATGGCATCCCGTTGGGTTTGACGTCATCTGAACAGGACATCGCACGCTCACTGCTTGATAGCGCGCGAAGCTCCGTTTACGCCGGTTGCTAAGCAACATCGTTATGGGGAAATGCAAGTCTGCGTCCAAATGGTTGGAAGATAAGGAGGAAGGACAATCAATACTGTCTATAGTCAATGTGAGGTAAAGTGTGTCGCCAAGGTAACCGGTTAGAACTCCAAGTGGCGATGAGGTCTTAAAATGTATGGAAAAGGTCTTAAAAAGGTCTTAAAAGGTTTTACATCTGACTTCAGGATTCCTGCATGTACCCTGATTTGTCAGATATGTTCCAAATTGTCTGGTTCATTTATAAAGAAAATCTGTAACATACACTTTGGTTTTCCATCGAGCTTATTGTTTTATAATCAAAAATCCAATGGAAAAATCCTATTGACTTTTTGTAGAGCAGTGCGATGCTAACTTTAGGGTCAGCTTTCAAAATGCGTCATGTCCCCTGCAGCAGTAATACTGTATGTGCCTTAAAGCTGTACGCTACTCATCCACTAAAAACAAAGGGTTTTATGCGTCGTGACGACCTGTGTTGAAGCGCTGTGCACAGACTGGGTGTGTTAACCTGCCAGCACTAATTTGCAAGCTAAATAAGAGACGAAGAGCTTCCAGTAAGGAGGGGAGTGATGGAGAGGGAAGGGTGGAGACAGAAAGAGAAGCAGGGGGGGGCGTACAGCAGCTGTAAGTGCTTCCCCCCCCTCCTGTCCAACATCCATCTCATATAGAGCACACAATTCAATATATTAAATTCAAATTCAAAAAACAACGTGGTTTCTGTTCAGCTTGAAGCTTTAAATCAGTCACTGTTGAAATGTTATTGTATATTAAATAAATTATAGGATTTTATATCAAAAACGATAAACAAAGAATATTGGCCAATGGTACAATGGAGCATCGTCTGTGGCACTACCTTTTTTTGATGTAGGTCAAAATATACTCTAGATGTGATTTAACTTTATTTACACTACACATGATTTAAAATGTGATTACATGAAAGGGAAAATATGGACTTATACAAATGAAATATACTTCACTTGAGGGATAAAAATAGTTACAGCCCTAAAGTATATATGAGAATCTTTACTGTGGAGTTTTGGGTTTCCTTGAATAACAGCTTCATAATCAGCAGAGTTTTAAACAGAATTAGATGTATTGCCATTTACTTGCATTAATAAACACAAGACATTTAAATATACAAAAATAAAATATCTAAATGAAAATAGGATAGCTGTGCCGTTTTAGAAGTTGTAGCATTGTGCAGACATTTGCAAAATTGTCCAATAAATCTGAAGAATACAAAAGTATAAGAATTGTTCATTTCTTAAGTGCAGTAAATCAGGCACTTACCAGGGTTCCCATGGGGTCTTACATTTGATCCAAAAAATAAGAAAGGTCTTTGGTGATTTAGGAGATCTTAAAAATGATGGGATTTGAAAAGTACTTCTGTGTTTCGATCACGTCTAAATGTGTTTTGGGGGAAATGTCCGGGCTGCAAAGTAACCAGTACGGTAATAGCCTTTCAGTTCCCCCAGAAGATAGCTCTTGTCACACACACACACACACACACACACACACACACACACACACACACACACACACACACACACACACACAGAGTGAGGCAGTTTCTGGTTTTTGTCTAACACGCTAACACAGTTCTGTGTGCTGTTATGTTCAGTCATCGTTCTTATGTTGAACGTGAAGACAGTTACTTTGTAAGTCATTATGGGACGTATTTCTTCTTTCATAGCAATTTTCCTTCATACTTTCTTGCCGTGAAATAGGTCTTGAATTCTATTCAAAGTGGTCTTAAAAAGTCTTACATTTGAGTTGGTGAAGCCTGACTTACTTGTCCCATAACAACCCTAACAGCGTGCACAATAAGGACTAATTGTAAACAATAACCGGCTCAGTTGAGTTGCTCTGGCCTCATCCTCTGTGCAGAGCGCTACATTTATCAAAGATTGTCCGGCGCCATTGAGACTGACAGGAAGTCGAGGACTCGGCTCCGTCTCTTCCTATATGACCTCCGTCTGCTTTATTTATTTGTCATTTCACATTGAATCGTTCCTTCTTTATGCGACTCCTCTTTTCACTGTCTCTATCCTAACCCCCCCCACCCCTCTTCCTTCCACTTTGCCCTCTGCTCCTTTCAATATTTGATGACCAATTAGAGTACATCAGACAGATACAATTAATAATAGAGTAGATCAAGGTAGGAGAATAAAATAATAACCACTCCTTTTACCAGTAACACTCTTAAATAATAATAATAAATGGAATTTATAAAGCGCCTTTCACGGGACCCAAGGTCGCTGTACATGGTGGACAGACCAAACAAAGCAGACAAAAGGGGACCTATCATGCAAAATGCATTTTTTAATGTCTTTTATACATAAATATGTGTCCCCGGTGTGTCGGGGAACTCACGCAGCTTCAGAAAATACAACCCTCTCTCTTTTCCTCCGTACCCACATACTAATAACTATATAACATACATACATAACTAAAAACGGGGAACAACGGAGCTGATCCAGATTTGCGTCCGATATGACGTAATATCTGAAATGTGGACCCACGGCACTATCAGAATGTTGCTATCAGAAACAATGCCCGACTGTTCTGGACGTAACATGGTCTGTGTTTACATTAGCATCGCTAACACTCAGAGCTAACCTGTACTGGAGAGCATGTGTGTGAAGAAGCAGGAAGTAAAAAGGAACTCACCTTGTGGTATAACCGGCAAGAGAGAAAGCCTTTGAGCTCTAAACTGTTTCAGAGAGAATCCTTGATAATCCATGATATGGCGTTTCATCACGGCAGCATTTAGTTTAGACAGTAGCTGCCGGGTCCCGCATGAGCTCAGCCCCCTCCTCTTTATTGTTTTTTTAGCTTTGTCCCCAAATCAGCACTTTAGAAACAGGAAGTGAAATGGAGGGATATGAGGCATGGCTAGAATGGGTGATCTGTTTGGTATTTTGAGCAAAACACTTCATAGACATGTTTTTTTATATATTTTTGATATATCTGAGACCTAAGCTATTGCCTAAAAATAGCATGATAGGTGACCTTTAACATACGTCTGGTGTCATTATAGTAAAGTCTTTCGCATGCAGTTTAATCTAAGTATTGATTTTAGTGGCGTTATACATTTGTCCTGCTGCTCAGTCAGCTTTTTAAAATATCTGCACCAATGAACCAGAGCAAAATGTGCTTTCAGTGAACTCATTGAACAATAATGAATCTTAATGTTATGTGAAAATTAGGGTTGATTTAAGGGGAATTGGGAAGTAGAGTGTTTTACATTACTTCACCTTTTTAATGTGTGTCCTTTTTTTGTTTCCGCTTCATGTTTACCTTCCCCCTCTTCCTCGCTGGTTTAAATGTTTGTTTTGATGCAGGTTTAGGTTTGCCGTGTGGTTGTATTGGAATCTAACGCCACAAAAAATGGGCAGCGTCCGCTCAGATATTTGGGTTTCTGTGTAAATGAATATCATTTCTTGTCTCTGTCCTGCCAGATGAGACGATGATCATCAACGTTTTCTGTGGCGTCGTGTCCGGAGTGCTGTCCTCGTCTCTGGCAAACCCCACTGACGTCCTCAAGGTGATTAATAACATTTTTTGGACAAGTTTTTTGCTGTGTTCACTCCAAAAAGCAAAGTGAATGTTCAACGGTTTGCCTTATCATTTGTATGATTACTTTACTGCAGCGATATGAACAAAATATCACTCAAATTGATTGATTTCATTTAAAAAAAGTTGTCGAATTAACTGCACCATGATGCAGAGTTATTAAATGTACTCCATTATATTTTTATTTTTTGAATGTCAACTGCTGCCTGAACTTTATGATATCCTTTTACATAAATAAAGAATATTTCACCATATTCGTGGATACAAATAAATATAACCACGTCTTCATTTGTGTCCCATCGATGTTGAAACGAAACCTAAACTCTTGTAAGATTTAAAGCAAAGTTCTGTAAAAATGATATAGTAAATCACCAAGAAGGTTTTTTCATCTACTTAATGTCTAAAATATTTCAATGAATTAAAATAATCCAATGGCTTCCTCCCTACTGCCATCTACCGTCATACTCCTTAAACCACTGAGGGAAGTTCTGGGTTGAAAGTGATGGTGTAAATATATTTGTTTGTTTGTGTGTCTGTTTTTGTTCCAGATCAGGATGCAGGCGCAGGGCAGTCTGCTCCAGGGCAGCATGATGTCCAACTTCATGAACATCTACCAGACAGAGGGCACCAGAGGCCTGTGGAGAGTGAGTGTGTGTGTGTGTGTGAGAGTGAGTGTGTGTGTGTGTGTGTGAGAGAGAGAGTGAGTGTGAAGGAGTAGAGGGTACTGTGTTGTGGGATGCAGCCGAAAAATCGCCACATTTCTGATGCTGAAAACGCTTTTTCTAATATTTTACATGGAAAACCAATAGGAGATTTTCTATGACTAATTGATGCAGGCCTTCTGTTTTCCAAGATAACGCCCCATTCATTCTTTGCGAGAAATTCATTAAAAAATATATATGGTAATGTTCACAACGTGTTTTCATTGCCCCCCCAGTAGCCAAAAGATCTGTTATTTCTATTGTAAGAAATACCCATACTTTAGGTACATTTTAACATACTTACTCTTGATACCTGGACTTAAAATCACACATTACTTTTTCAGTCTAATATTTAATAATCCTATCCTTGCACAATTAATGTAAATATAATATCCTGCTTATATTTTCTTACTGTAAATTTGTATTTCCAAATGTTTTTCTACTTTTTTAATGCTATTTTATTTATATTTGAGACGTTTACATTTTGGATTGTTTATTTCTGGTCTTTTAATGTCTCTAATGTTTAATGCCATGTCTTTTTATGCTGCTGCAACGCAAACATTTCCCAAATTGTACTTCTTATCTTATCTTATATAAATTGAATTCTCCAACATGATCTTATATGTTGTTTAATTGTGTGACAGTGAGGTTTATTTCCTGTGTCGCCTCTCCTCCCCCTCAGGGTGTCATCCCCACGGCGCAGCGAGCGGCCATCGTGGTCGGGGTGGAGCTTCCTGTCTACGACATCACGAAGAAGCACCTCCTCAAGTCTGGCGCCATGGGAGACACCATTCTGACACACTTTATGTACGTTTATTAATTGTTTAACAGTTCAGGGATGGCGACCCTTTATAATCACACAGATATTGCAATAATAAGCCGTATCATATAGAACAGGGGTGTCCAAACTACAAATGCGGACCATTTTGAATCGGCCCTCAGCTAATTAAAAAAATGGAATATGGCCCATAAATGAGACTTGTGCTCGTCTTATATTGTACTTCTTAAATATAAATGTAAACATATATTACACAGTAGTATTCATGAGTTTAATAATGGCGCTTTTCCACTGCAGGGCCTCGCTCGCCTTAGTACGGTATGGCTAGGCCTCGTTAGGCCAGGCTCACTTTCTGCTGCGTTTCCATTACAGTTTAGGAACTGGGGCAGTAACTATAGTAACGCAGTGTAGGCGGAGCCGAGACGCCATCTTCAATGCGAAACACAAAACCAACATCAGCCGTTAGCAGTTAGCCCTCAGAGCTCACAGCTCCTCATATCTGTTCAGAAACTAGACAAAAGTTAAACAAGTACAAACCACAGACTGCCTGTGTCATGGCGCTGCTTTATTTATGTCTGTAGGCCGTTGTTGTGAGTGTGGACCGTCGGAGCATATACTGCGTTAGCTTAGCCGATCTCCATTCAGAAAACACACATTTTAAAAGGTTCTTCGCCTGCCGTCTGTCTGCAGACTTGTCAAAGCATGAATTCATGGTTTTTACTAACCGGTATCAGTATGTTGTTACTTCGGCATCATTTAGAAACGTGTGTTACAATTAAATCACGGTCAAATATGTTAATTTTGTTGTAGTTGCCAGCGATTCTCTCACTAGTTTAGCATACTCAGCCCGGTTGTTGGCCCGCAAAGAACCTCGATTTTGGAGAGCCAGAAAACTGAAAAAGTACCCGCTAGCCAGAACTACCCCAAGTGGAAACGCAACCAAAAATGGGCCGGGCACGGCACGCTTAAACCGCGCTGTAGTGGAAATGGGCCATAAGACCACTTTTCAAATAAATCCAGTCAATTAAAGTTGGAAACATTTTCTTAGTTGATAAGGAAAAAAGCCCAATAACTTATTTAGATAACAAGCTTGAAATACACCCTTCCTATTTCTCCTTATTTTATAATCAATCTGAAGCTTCTGTTCCAAGGGATGAGCTGCCAACACTCGCATCATATACCTACATTTGATTGATTTGGCTAACTTATAACTGAACTTATGAGACACTATACCTCTAGTGAGCGGCCCAGCCCTTTGTATGTTTTTCTGTATGTGGCCCTCGGTGAAAGAAGTTTGGACCCCCCTGATATAAACCTAATTGCCACTCGTTTTCTCAGTATTTTTTAGGCAGAATAGATTTTATTTTTACAGGGTATCTGCGAGGTCTTAAAAAGTATTAAAAGTTGACATTTTGTAGCTTGTTTTCAATAAGTATCTAAATGGTCCAAAGAGGTTGTGTTCTACAGTCTGCCTGAATGTAATCATGGCGTAGGTGTGTAGTGAGATTCTGTGTAGTTTATTTATGGCATCCCGTTGGGTTTGACGTCATCTGAACAGGACATCGCACGCTCACTGCTTGATAGCGCGCGAAGCTCCGTTTACGCCGGTTGTTAAACAACATCGTTATGGGGAAATGCAAGTTTGCGTCCAAACGGTTGGAAGATAAGGAGGAAGGACAATCAATACTGTATATAGTCAATGTGAGGTCAAGTGTGTCGCCAAGGTAACCGGTTAAAACTCAAAGTTGCGATGAGGTCTTAAAATGTATGGAAAGGGTCTTAAAAAAGGTCTTGAAAGGAATTACATTCGACTTCAGGATTCCTGCATACACCCTGTTTTATGAAACTCCTCCTTTGGTCCTCTTTAACCTTGTGTAATTTCTGGTTGTGTGTACAGTGCGAGTTTCACGTGTGGCCTGGCGGGGGCGCTGGCCTCCAACCCCGTGGACGTGGTTCGGACCCGAATGATGAACCAGCGAGTTTCTTCGGGAGCCCCGATGTACAAAGGCACTCTGGACGGACTGATGCTGACGTGGAAGAACGAGGGCTTCTTCGCCCTCTATAAGGGCTTCTGGCCCAACTGGCTGCGACTCGGGCCCTGGAACATCATCGTATCCTTAAAACAAGTTTAATCAGAGCAGGGGAAAACACAGAAAGGATTTCTGGGATATTATTTTGGAGACAGTGGAGGTTTAATCCCAAAAGTTAAGTGGCGAAGAAATACGGGGAACTTTGTTTTACAATGTCCAATTCCATAAAAATAAATGAAATAGGATCTGAAATATTTAAAAGGTGTTGATAGCCAGGGACGTGCACAGACATTTTGTGGAGGGTAGAGAGAGCATCGGAACTTCACCGTTTAATCTCCTGACCTGATATTTTTATTTTGTATTCAATCAATATATTTTTGGAAAGGGAAACTGCCCAAACAGCGGTAGATATATATTCATTTATTTTTTTAAATAATTTTAAAAAGGGGGGGGGGAAAGGGCACTTTCTCTGGAGGAACAAAAAGGTTTGTTGTCTGCGTGCACGTGCCTGCTGATAGCCATCTCTTTTTTACAAGAATGCCCTTACTCAAGTACATAAAAAAACAATATAAGCATAGATAAAAACAAATGTTGAAAAGTTGTTTTGTCAGTCCAACAGATATTCACTTAAAAAGGCGGGAAAAAATGACTCTCCCTTTTTGAAAGACTTAACAAATATTTCAAAATAGTTGCCCATTATCTTTAGAGTTATTAGCATTAGTCGAGGTTGCTCATATTTCAGAGCTTATTTCAGCCTGTTCACTGTTGTGATTATGAGTCATGAAACGTTCCTTAACTCACTTCTCTCTCAGTTCTTCATCACCTTCGAGCAGCTGAAGACGCTCCCGTTTTAAGTGACAGGAAGTGGGACTGGCTTTGTTTAGACTGTGTCGGGCAGAAGTGTGAGCACGGCAGCACCTGCAGGTTGACCACACTCCCTGCAAAGCATACCAATGATACAGTACAACACTACTCATCTGCCCATCAAACGCTCATCCAAATCTTATGTTCTGTTTTTGCAATGTGTTTAATTTATTCGCACTGGTTCTGTTTTTGTACAGTTTTTAAGGAGTGTGATTTATCGCTCTCATCCTCCTTCGACACTCCCAGGCAGCTAAGAGTTGGTTGTAGCAGAAGATTGAAATATGGAAGACTAGGTTTTTTGTTTTTTTAGTTTAACACTGTGGAAAAGGTGAGAGGAAGCCTTTCTTAAAAAAAAAACAGGACTCCAACACAGGTCTAGACATTTTAAATCCGTGAACTACGCCAGGTTTGGCATGCAAGGCTATGCAGGTTGGGGCAGGAAAAATAATAAAATGGGAACATGGTATTTGCATGGAAAGCGGTCGGAAAATGAGTCTGATTCCACTTAAAGGTCTCATGTGATGGCCATTTCTACTGATCATAATTCCATTGTTCAGGTCGACTAGAATAGATTTACAATTTCAATTTTCCAAACTCACATTGGTTTCTCATACAGCATCTCTGTATAGTATGTGTATTCACTCTCAGTCCTACACGCCTTGTTGGAGCTCTTGCCCCCCCCCCCCCCCCCCCCCCCCCCCCCTGTGAGCCCACTGCTCTGATTGGTCAGCTCGCCCACTCTGTTCTGATGAGTCCACCACCGTTACAGCGGAACATCAGTGATTATGTGTTACAATGGCGTTTATTAGCAACCAGAAAATGACACCAGTAATGACAAACAGATGATAATGCTGCGTGGGGTCTGGGTGCCGTGTTGGCGGGACGTTGCAGGGCTCGCTGCTGCGAGGAGCGGACAGTGTGAGCTGGATTACTGGTTGCTGCGTGGGGTCTGCGAGACTCCGCGGAACTCAGCCTGAGCACACACTCTCACAGCCAGGCTATATGTGTGCTCAGGCTGAGTTCCGCGGAGCCGATATGTCACTAAAATCAGTAGGGCTGTACCCGAATATTCGAATATTCGGTCGTTGGCCTACTATTCGGTTTTCAATTTCGTTATTCGGATATTCGCTACGCCAAATTGAATTTATTGAAATCCCCAATATCAACGTAAGAGCTTGTGCCTCTTCGGGGGGTGCTAACACTTAACCATAAACGTTATCGTTTACTTTCTCCGTCTTTATATGTTATTACTTTTTCTCCATTAATCTCTGTCACGTTGTTTCCATAGCAACAACAACTTCCTGTCAACAGCGCTAACTCTCCTTCAAAATAAAAGCATGTCCATACAAAATAGGAAGCCAAGCCAAATTACACTTAAGACATATACAACTGCAACGAAAGTAACAAACACAATGTGATATCCTTTTCAATTTCAAAGAACACAAATTGGGTTACATTAACAAATAACTATAAAACAACAATACTGTAGAATAACAAAATGAATGCCTTGAATAAACCGAAATACACATGTTGAAGCGCGTGCCGAATATCCGCTGCTGGTTAATACCGAATATCCGGAGCCCGAAAAATGTTATTCGGGACTGCCCTAAAGATCTCCAATAGACATGGACGGCTGAAGGCTAACATTTGCTCAGCTTGTTTCTGTGGTAGCTTCACATCCAGATGTACGATGACTCAATTATCTGGAAACCAGTAAAGATGTGTGTGGATTTAAACCGGGAGAAGGTTCATGTATGACTGTCAGAGAACGCTGGCTGTGTGGTAAACATGTGGGATAATGTAGGAACACAACCAAACGATTATAGGTCAAATCGTTTTAGACTTTTTAATAAGGAAATGTTACACAGTATACTTTTAAGGAGCATCTAAGGTTTTACTTGAAACAATCTGAAAACCTGAACCAAAGCCTCAAAAGACCAGTTGTTATTATTATTATTATTATTTCACAACCAAATTAATTTGTGTGTTACTCAGTTCGAGAAGTACTCTCACATTCTTCTGCTGTATTGGAAGCTAATTTCATTCCAAACCCACAAGACCATGACGCAGAAACTCAATTCTTTTAAATGTCCTTCACACATGTCCAGATGAATGCATGCATGGATAGGGAGGTGGCAGCTGGTGGTGATGGAACATGCTAAATGTGTTTTCTAACTAGCTGTGATCAATGACTGAGCAGATCGTCTGAATCACATTTAGTTTGAAGCCGAACCTCTTGGCTGAAAAGCGTCATCATTCGGGATTGATAAGATATTTGTGAATCACGTTCTCAAAGAAACTTCAACTACTTAAAACAAACCAAATGCATTTAAACAACGTGTATTTGTTATTCTTTATGTGGATCCAAAACTAATACACATTTGTTGTTGACTTGAAAAGACATGAAGAAGAGGGGACACATGTTGTTGACTTGAAAAGACATGAAGAAGAGGGGACACATGTTGATGTAGAAAAGACATGAAGAAGAGGGGACACATGTTGATGTAGAAGAGACATGAAGAAGAGGGGACACATGTTGATGAAGAAGAGACATGAAGAAGAGGGGACACATGTTGATGAAGAAGAGACATGAAGAAGAGGGGACACATGTTGATGAAGAAGAGACATGAAGAAGAGAGGATACATGTTGATGAAGAAGAGACATGAAGAAGAGGGTTTTGCACAATAGGTGACCTTTAAAAAAGTTCAGCATTTTATGTTGATCTAATTTGACCTTAGAGTGAGTCTTCTATTTCTACACAAAGTATTACATCCTCACGCTGGCATGATTTTTGTTATTTAATCATTTTTAAACTCCTGACTCCTTCCCTTCTTTATAACCTTGGTGAACGATGTGTTACCTCTGACGTTACATCATCAACGTTTACACGACGTTTTCAGAACAAGGATTTTTGTGCATGTAAACATAGTCACTGATAGGAGTTTGCTCCAGAAAAGGCTAGAAAGTGGCCCTTAAATGAAAATAATGTTGGCTTAGAAGCTGCAAAATGAAATAACACTGCTCTGTGGCCCAACTCCTACAAGGCTTGTTTTATAAGAACCTGTGTGTTTTATAATAAAAGAGGGGCTCACATGGAACTTTTGTTTAGCTCCTTAAATTAGCGAATCATGAATGTAAAGCACTTTATTTGTATGAAGGAGAGCTTGTGATTGATAAAGAGCCAGTGTAATCAGACGTTAGAATCAGTGGACTTTTCAGTATATTGTACTTTTTATTGATTATTTAATGCTTTTATATTCCTTTAACTCACTTTCTACACTTTCTCTTCAGACATTCTTCATAAATTTGCTTGTGACTTTAAATTTTGTTTTTATTTATTTTTCCTGGCTATAGCCGTTTCTCTGTCTTATGTCAAACAACAACAGCAATCTCTGGAGCCACACGAGGACGATAGCGCAAACGGACCGCAATCGTTATCCAAAAAGTCTTCCGTCCACACCATAGACTGGTCCACACGCAACAGGCACCAGAAACGTGTCAGTTCACACGAGACCGCTGGAAAGCGCTGGAGACGCTGTAATACATATGCCGGGCCTGTAAGTGGCGCTGTAGTCCTGCCACAAAAGCAGCGAAGAAGACTTCCCGCGCATGGTTGCCATGGTAGCCCTTCTGTTTATTCTCCGCTGTGGACGCTCTGGCTCTTTTTCTCCCTCCCTGAGGCAAGCGTTTGCTCCTGCTGTAATTCTCTCCGGTAGTCCACCAGCAGATGACAAACACCCACCTCTCCACCTCTTCCAAGGGACGAGGAGACCGTGCGGCAGAGTTTCAGTTATTAATTATTTTTAGCCGGTCAACATGTCCGTTAAAGTTTAAATCTTCCGGACAAAATTAGAAAAGTGCCGGTCAGAGGTCTTCTTTGTTTATTGAGCTTTAAAACAAATTGATAACGACTATGTAATAATAAATGGAGTTGTTATCAATTTGTTTTCATCTCATTTCAAACCTTTATTTATCCAGGTGTATCGCATTGAGATCATTGATCTCTTTTTCAAGGGAGACCTGCTCAAGTAGGTTCCACATGAAACATAAACAGAACAACAAAAGGACATTTTACAGCATCATTACAGGGATTACAATTTACATAACTATCCACATGAACAGGTACCAACAGCTTCCGATTGAGTAGCATCCAACCGAGCTTTAAAAACATGTAGTGGCACCAGATTGCTCAGTTTCCAATTCAATTGCAGACTATTCCAAGACAGAGGATATTTGAAAGCTCAATAAATAACAAAGAAGACTTCTCTTTTCCTCCCCTCTTCTGACAGCCCAGCAGCTGATCTCTGAGCAGGAGAGGCGGGGCTATTGCTTCAACGTTATCAGGAAATGATCGTATAGGCGTAAACACGGAGCCGTTTGCCCCCCCAGAGCGTTTCCTTTGCAGATCTACCCACCTTGGGACCCGTTATCGTTTTCTGCGTTTCCATGTCGGCCTCGTGTGGCCGAACCGTCTATATGATAGTGAACTGTAGCAGATACGACCGTTATTGTCCTTGTGTGGCCCGGCCTTTACACTTGATTACATAAAAAACAAATCAGCCATTCATTTTAGATGTTGGCCTCATTCCTCTTGATCACATTAAGTTTTGAAAAATAGATTTTTTTCAATGACTTCTAAATTATGTCTTACTAGACCAAAATGCATCCTGAAGTCCAGAAGGGTTTTAAACAGTGATTCTATCAACATGCCTAGAGGCTTATTGAGTCCTTTTTTATTCTGCTGTCATAAATACTTTTTATTTATTAGAAATTCTGTGTGGCAGTGTGACAAGAGGAGAAACTCTATTTGTATATTTCCATTTGTTTGCACTTTTTCATTTTCTGGAGTGGCGTTGGTCAGTGACGTCAACACTGCTGGAGAGGTTTTAGTTGTGACAGCAGGAGACTCTTCGATCAGTGTCTGGAGTTTTCGGACTGTAGACGACAAATGTCTCCTTAGCCTTTCTGCCTCCTGTGGATGTTTGAGCCGGCGTGGATGTCTTTCTGCACCACTTAGAATTCTGTGCCATCCCGACTTGTTTGAACAATGGTGTGTGTTTGCTGTCTGTACCCTTCACGCTTGTTCACGGGATGAATTTCGATGGTGGAGGTTTTAAGTTATTTTCTTTGACTGAATGGGTCCAGCTTTATATTCAATGTTCACTCAAATTAAAGATATGCTGTGATTGTTTCTGTATCAGTTTGTGGTGTCTTGCTCATTCATTCGAGCTGGTACAATACCTTTTCTTGATTAAAAAAAAACATTTCAATCGTGTTTTCAGTGTGATGTCTTCGTGTCACCACCGGGTAGAGCTGTTGCATCTAAGAAAGATGTTTGTTTTTACCTAAATGAGACTGAATAAATATATAAATAATAATAAAGCTGACATATTATGTCTTTGGGTACCACTAAAGGAATCTATAAATACTTTATTATTGATTAAGAATATGAGGTTTTCCCACCAGACACAGATCAGATAAACAAGAACAAAAATTGTATTATGAGAGTATGACCTTTTTTATTTTTATAAG